TCATTGAACAATTCAAATTTCTCCATTTGGTATGTTATTTATTCACATTGCTGGCTACTCAATGAACCCTCATTTTTCTTTCAGTATATTCCATACTACAACATTGCTGCATATTGTTTTATTCTCCCCTGACCAGAGACATTCAGCACATCCCCATCTCATGTTTTCAGGAGTGCAGAGAGCGTGTGCTTTTTTGACAAATAATTTAAAAATCCTGTCCCACTGTTTAAAAGCGCTGAAGAGCTAATAAAATCCCTTGACTCTGCAGTGCTTATCATGGCACAGTTTTCACAGAACATTACTTGTAGCTCTCCCAGTTTCTCCCCAGGTCTAGAATATGGAGTTTACAAAAACTTTCCTGTTGCTTCTCTTTGACTTAATTTATGACCCTGTTGTATATTTCCATTAAGCATGTCCAAAGAAGGACAATACAGCTGGTGAAGGGATTGAAAAACAAGTCATATGAGAAGCGAATGAGGGAACAGGGACTGTTTTGTCTGCAGCAGAGGCTCATGGGGGCTTTCAAGCTCTATAAATACCTGGAAAGAGGTAGTAGCCAAGTGGAGGTTGTTCTTTTCTCTCAAGGAGCAAGGCAAAGGCTTCGACTGAAAGGTCTCTATATGTGACAGGGAGGGTTGAATTGATTATTAGACAAAATTTCTTCACTGACGGTTAGCCAGGTATTGGCACATACTGCCTGTGGGAGTGGTTGGATACTGTCCCAGTGACAGTAAATGAAAGATGTTATTAAATGAAATAAATATGTTATTAAATGAAGACATTTAATAACATATGTAGATATGGTGCTAAAAGAAGTGCTTTAGTGTTGTGCTTCATTGTGTTAGGTTAATAGTTAGACTCAAGGATAATGGATCTTCCCCAACCTAAATAATTCCATGATTTTAAAAGCATTAAATGTTTTGCCTGCCTTCATCTCCCTTCTTCATAGCCATGCACACTCACCCTCTCATTTTGATTCATAGAACATTTTACTATGCTGTGCACTTTCAGCAGCTAGCTCAAGTACAGCTATCTCACTTTCTAGTTAACTAGTTTAACTAAAACTAGCCAGTAGGACCTGAAAATGCTTATAATTGACATTATGTATCTTCAAAGAACAGATGTTATTCCCACTTTGCTACTCAGCTGGATGACAATAGCTTGATAACTTTAAAGATACAGGGAAGAAAAAGTTGTTTGACTTAACATCACCATAACCTTAAAGCTGCTTTCAACATATTTAGAATAAATTATGCATTTCCATGTAGCATCTGTTTGTTAAATAATTCAGTTAGTTTAATTACCATCTGATTTTATTTATTTATCTATTTATTTATTTATTTATTTATTTAATGACATTGAACAGGAAATTAAATGTGGTAAGTGTTTGGGCAAGGAATCTTGGAGGAAATTCTCCTTTCAGGGGATGTGGTAGAGAAAGCATGAGGAATGAATCTTACCCAAATGGCAAATGCACTAGTAATTTATTTAGTGTTACAGAACTGTGTCAACATAGTACAAACAGTTGTAGATGAATGAGGTACATGAATCATATATTTAAGAACTTGTTTACATAGCTCTAGGCTGAAATATTGCATGACTTTTTTCCTTTCCCTGACAAATTAATTACTCTTCTCTGACATTGTTGTCAAAGCTGAAAGAGTTGAGGTAGCTTTTATTCTGGACAAATAGGCACTTTGGTCAAACTTTGTGTACCTTTAAGGAACCACAGATAAACAAGCAAGACGAAATACAATAAGCTACCTTTGCACTGATTTATTTTCTGTAGAAAAATTATGGCACAATTTAATCTTTAACATGAGAGGAGAACTCAGCAGTGTAAAGTTCAAGCAATAAATAAAGGCATTGAAAGCCTCATTTGAGTGCAATATTCTTCAACAGTGGCATCTCTATACTGAGCTGCTCATAGATGAGTCTTATGTGCCTGATCAGTGAATATACTTCCAGTCCAAGAGTATGCTGAATCACAAGCTTCTCAAAGTTACATACTTCAGGTTACTCCATCAGGTTAGGTCTTATTCCATTTATTGAATTCTGTTCTGAAGAATTCATGAAGACCAGTGATATTAGAAATTAAATTTGCTAAATGGGAAATACTACAGACACAAGCGAAGTCCATATCCAGGTAGCAGTCAGAAGTTATGGAATGCCAAGCTGACTTGCCAGACAAATTCAGTTCATTGCCCTGTGTGCATTTTAGGGGCGATTGAAAGAAAGAAATTAAGTCTAATCTCTAGCAAAATCTACACATTTCATTGAAAAAAAGAAATCTTCTTTACAGTAAAAGTTTGAAAGAAACCCTGTTAAGTTTCTAGGTAAATTTCTTGCTCTTTTCTTAAAGAACAGCATTCTTGCAGTGTCAAGTCACTGCTAGCCTCCAAGGTAAATTACCATCAGTAATTCATGTGCATTTTTCAAAGCCAAAATAATTTCAGGTATTAGAGCCTTTGAGTTTATAGTGACCTGTATGATATTTGTGTATTTCCTTTAGGAATTTCCTCTCACTTAAAACACTTTTCCCCTTGCTTTTTGCTTTGGAGGGCAATACAAAGTAGTTGGGTAAGAGGAAAGGATTTCTGGAGACAATCTCTTAGGAAACAGTCTGTGTACTACCAGCGTCTCTGACTCCTTTTTTTTCCTGCATCCATGACTGAGTGAGTGGGCATTCTTATGTTTACATAGGCACAAGGATTCAGAGACAATGCAGAGAGAGCTCTAAACTTTAACAGCCTTATGCATGTAACAGCTACACCAACAAGGACATTTCTATATAACTTTAATAAAACTAGGTACAAAGAGGGCTGTTGGGACCGTTCCCTGAGTAGAAGGCTCCTCATACATGGTTAGGAAGGTCCATGATCTATGTGCCCACACCAAGGGCACAGCAAAATGAAGGACTCATTCTCCAAGCAGGAGAAGGTCAATGCTCCAAAAACATTGTTCAGCACATGTGTGCTGCAGGAGAGAAGCCCATTAGTGGAAAGAGTCTCTATGTAACTCAGCAGGAAGCATGTGTGGACCTAGCACTCCTGAAACACATGGAAAGTGTGGTGAGGTTGTAGGTGCTTGGGGCCACTGTTATTTAAAGAAAGAGGAGGCAGGGAACGTGCTGAGGAGTCAATAAAGCTTCTCTCCTTTTTCTAATATTCTCAAATATTCTCCTACTTTGATTGATTTAAAAAAAACCTGTGAAGTGTAACATTTCTGTTCATTGATTAGTGATGATCAAAATTTTCACTGGGTCCAGGGGTCTAGGAAGTAACCTGCCTTCAAACCGTTTATCCAGAGCTTTTTTCTGTATAGCTCTGGGCTGATTTTTTTTCATGAGAATTGGCTCTTTAAAGACAAGAAAGCAATTCCTCCTCCCTCCCTCTAAAACTTCAAACTGTTTTTTATATAAAATTCAAATAAGAACTGATAACAAGAATGACCCATTGCAGAATTTTCTTGTGCTTTCATTATTATTCATTAATTCATGCTACTGTGAGTGTTTAATTTGGGATGAAGCACTGCCAATTAAGAAAAACTGGTAACCAGAGTGCTGGATGTGATTTTTATTTTTTAAGGTATATATTAAGAAGAGTAAAGAAAACAAAAACACACAGTCATGCATTTTTATTCATGTCTCTTTCTCTCTGTTTCTTACAGTGTATCACAAAAATTAGTTTTAAAAAGATTATTAGTAACTGCTATTTATTTCAGACCATGCAACAGAAAATAAATTAAGTTCAAAGACATGCTAATTAATTTAAAAGTGCACAGACTACCTGGTTCAAAGTCATTTGTTCCTGGTTCTTTTCTGTGGCCAGAGCTGTAATCAGTTGATTTTAGCACAGGTTTATATCCAGAACAGTGAATACTTGTATCCTGCAATATTTGAAAGATCAAAGATTTATATGTATCACTGTATTTAAGTAGGATCTAGCATAATGCATTTGCTGCAGTTTCTTTTGAAAACATACAGCATCTAACTCACTTCAGCTCCTGGGTTCAAAGAATGGAAAAACAAGCTTTGATTGGGCAATTTTCTTGAAAAGTACAGAAAAGATACTTGTCAAAGAATACGTCTTTCTAGTAGTTTAATGAGCACATCAAGCAGTTTCTGATAAATATTCCTTCCTTTGTGTTACGTTTCTTTGACTTCAAAGTTTTATGTGCAAGGTATCAGCCCATTCTTTTTTTTTTACTCTCTAATTTTATTTCAAATATTAGTCATTAATGTTGTCCAGAAGGCATACTTGTTTTGTCTTAATTTTAATATAAGTTTGATCTGTGTATAGTCTAGGGCTGGAAACATCACACACATTTTCAGTTTTGAAGCAAAATTTTAATCACAGCTCAGTTTTCTGCCATGAGAAAGAACGAAAGTTCTACAGACTTCTTTGTTGAGCACTGCTATGATTTTCTGAAGCATTTCTGCAACACTGATCAGGTTAAAACCATAAAATTTAGATGAAATTTTATTCTGTCTAGCTAATTCACAGAACATTTTTTTAATGACATCTGTTCATCCACATGAGGCTTAAACTGGGCGTATAGGTCTGGGAAGTGCAATTGGAAACTGCAAAGAAATTTTGCTTATCTACCTGAGCTAGGTAACAGTAGCAGGAAGGAACCTGAACTTCAAAGTTGGACCATACAAGCCTGGGGCACCTGGGAATGTGCTCTGATTGCCAGTGTAGCAAAGTCAGTCCTCCTGTTCCCTTTTTGCTATTATTTTTAGATAAATGAAATACTTTAAACTCTCCTAGGCTGGTAATCCAGTCCCATATATAATGTGAGAAATACTTTGTGTGACCTGACCTATATATCAAAGTGCCTACGCAGAGTTCTCGTGGCAGGACCAGAGACGCTGCTCACAGAAAGATTGCTTTATGGGGTCTAAGTCTTTCTTTATATAAACGACCATGAGCTCAGCTGAACATTTCTCCTGGAATTCCCTTCTATATAAGTCAGTCTTTTTTTTAACTCTTCTCAAGGCTCACAACAAGCTTTCAACCAAGCAACTTGACCTCAACTGATCTCCAGGATAAATGTGGCTGACAAATTCATGTGAAGAATTTAAAGGAGAAGCAAATTCTGCAGTGCAACTGTTGACCCAATTCCTATTCCTGCCTGTGTGGTAAGTAAGATGTGCACTTATCCTTATGTTTTTTATGTACTAGATATCCAACATTTTTATCATTTTACATATATATAAAACTTTACACTTGCAAATGTGTTTTATTAAGTAAAATTATCCCTAGCCCATGAAATCAATAGATCTATTGAGGGTTATGATAATCAGGAAATAGAGTGTGTCTACAACCAAAGTTGTAGTTGAGTAGTTGAGTCTGTAACATTTATCACAGAAAGAGAATATTTTTCAATATTTTTCAGCGAGTTTAGATTTAATTTCCTTGAAACTGTCATGGAGGAGCGAGAGGGCTGGATGTACCTTCCCAGTCAATCCCCTGCCCAGGAACTCCTGTTTAAAGCCCACAAACGTCAGTGGTCACCTGCTGGTTTGCAATAAAAAGCTTTTGGGTTAAAGTGCCACATGAGAAAGGCAAACATTAATATGAGAAGGAACCCTCCCTTCCTGGATTTAAGAAGTTTTAAAATAGGCTAAAAATATTTAGATTTATGTAAAATCTTTATGTTTCCTTCTGCAAGAAGCAGTATCAGTTGGATTAATACTTAAAATTAAAAGGAAGTTTTAGAAACAGGAATGGAGATGACTGAAACTTTTGACCACAAGGACTGCTAGGGTTGACTAACTGGAATGCTGTTGTCCTTTGGGAGGATGGCTGGAATATGGAGTTTGGGGGCATCCCAACTCCCTTCCCTCTCAAACACTTCCTCTCCCACACTGCTGATCTCAGAAAGAGAAAAGTTAACTTTAGAGGAAAGATTTTAATACAACCATATTTCATATCTACTGGAGAGAAGAAGGTTGTACTCTGATTAAAGCAAGGAACAGTGTTCAACATCAGGAAGATAGGACTCAACCAACTCCTTCCCTCTGCAGTACTGGAAAAATACTGTGAGAAATTCCACTAGGCTGGGATAGACAGAGACAAGGACAAGAACTGCAAGATGAGAGAGAGTATCTATAAAGGAAAACTGTATTGCCATGGTGGGTGTACAAGTACACATCTAGTTATAAACTTGCTTTTGTTATTCCACTTTGTTTTTCTCTAACTTAAATATCACTGTCTTTCCCCATGTTATCCATCTTCCTTCATACCTGTAAGTATCCACTGAAAGCTTTGACCTGCTACCTACTAATTTCCTTTCAAACAGTAAAGACCACTAATCCCAAAGGACTGTTCAGTATATTCAGCCAAAACCAGTATTAAATTCCTTGGCAAACTTGAGCCACCCCATACCGACACAGAATTCCTGGGTAATTCAAGCAGAATCTAATTAGCTAGTCTAAGAACTAGTTAAAAACTTCAACCAAAACTGAGTTGCACATAAAGCCTTTTTTTAATGTAACACTATGAATTATTTGATCTTCTTCTCTTTTTCTCCTAATTTTCATAAAAAAGGGGAAGACCAGAAGGTATACATTACAAGATGTATGCATGGCAACCTCCCAAGTCTGATAAAAATGTGTTTGCCAACAAAATATTTTTTCGTTATTCAGTTGTCCCTGAAAACTGCATTGCCTCTGAAAACATAAACAAAGAAGAAAAATTTTTACATTGAAGTTACAGCTTGGAAAAAATAACATGACAAAAGCCAGATGCCTTCCTTTGCCCAGAAAGATTGTTCCCCTGTACACCTCAGATATTGAGAGCTTCAGAGCAATACAAAGGTGCACTAGACAAGGAAACCTTTATCACTGTCTGATTTCACTTGGAGCACTGCGTCCAGCTACAGGATCTTCAACACAATGACATGGAGCTGCTGGAGTGGGTCAGAGGAAGGGTCGGATGTGAAGAAATTTGGAGGGATGGAGCACCTCTCTTATGAGGAAAGGTTGACAGAAATGGGGTTGTGCAGCCTAGAGGAGTCTCCAGGAAGACCATAATGCAGCCTCCCTGTGCTTAAATGGCCTTAATAAGAAAGATGGGGACAGGGTCTGTAGTGATAGGGCAAAGGGTAACAATTTTAAGCAGAAGGAGAGTCAGTTTAGTCTAGATACAAGGAGTAAGTTTTTACCATGAGAATGCTGACACATTGCTCAGAGAGGTGGTGGATGCTCTCAATCCACGGAGATATTCAGGTCAGATTAGATTCTGATCAACCTAGTCTAATGGAAGGTGTCTTTACTCATTGCAGGTGTGTTGGACTGGATGTCCTTTAAAGATCCATTCCCACCCAAACCATTTTGTGATTTTTTGATTCTTTATTAAGTCTGTAGAAAACCTAATAACCTGTAAAGTGGAAGAGTGAATCCACCACTGCTGTCCCACAGACACTGCTGACAGCTCAGCCTGTCACATATCAGATGCCTCAAGGTGATATCCTCACCCTCTCCCTCCAGCTGTTGGATGAAAAACAGGTTTCTGCAACACTCCTGCAGATTGTGGTCTCCACTGCACTCATTTGTACACAAGTCAGCTGGGATACAGAGAAAAGCAAATTTCAAGGCGAGGTGTTCCTGCAGAGCTGTCTGCTACATATCCTGCACACAGGTATTACCTAATCCTTCTGCTGCAATCTAAAGAATTCCTGGCCGTGCTACACCATGGAGAGCCTCAGCAGAGAACAATTTAGGTATTTTAGCCTTACTCCTGGTGTACCATGGGACCCCCACAAGGTATTTTGGGCAGCCCAGGGTGTGAATATCTGCAGGATCAAGCAGCCTGTGCCTGTCCAAGTTGTTATACTAGGGTTGACTGACTCAAGAACCACAGAGCAGGTTTTTCCATCTTCAGGGAAGAGGATTTTCTCCCCTCTTCTCCTGCAAGCCCCCTGTGTGAGCTGAGTCAAACTGAGTTAGCAAGGCTCTCCATGTCTGCATGAATATTGAAATAAGCATTCATCTTTGCAAAACAATAAAGTCTGGCTTGAGAGGTGCTAACAACTCCATCGATTTAATTTGAATCAGATTAAATATTCATTTCAACAAGATCTGAAAAGGCCCGTTTTTGAGATTTTTTTAATTTCCAGAGCAAGTCATAGATGGAGGAAATAAGGGGACAGCAGTTGCTCTGCTTTCGAATCCACATCAAACAAGATATTTGGAAAATCAAGAAACAGTTATTTTTTGAGACCTTCTAGGTTTGTTTATCTATTTAGCACTGCCTTCCTCTCCACTTGTTATTTTGGCAGAAAGCCTGCAATGAATTCTTCTAGGAGAAGAATGGAAGAGAATATCAATTCAACTTTTTGCTTGATACACTTTTCAAATTACTCATTTCTCAGACTGATAAAGATTATTTAAATCCATGGCTTTTCTAATCACAGAAAATGTTTACAAACAGAAAAAAATTAAACTTTTTTAAAAAAAATTTTAAATGGACAATTTTTGCACTTCAAGGAATTTATCAATTCATGCTAGCCAGTCTTCTACAGATTTTTGTCTTTATTACTTTATTTTATGATCAGAAATACTCCATAATGGTGTACCTTGGTAATAATTTGCATGACAGGAGGAGAATTCAAGTAAAAGTAACCCATTAGATAACAACCACTAAGATGATAATGATAACAGAGCAACAGTGGCACTGAAATATTTTGAACTTAAAAAATACAAAACTACAGGTAATACTAAATAGGTTTATATACCTGGAGTTTATGGTGAAGTGCAAGTGAATTCGGGTGTTTCATTTGCAAAAATAGTACAAAAGTCATAAAGATGCCAATGCGTATAAAAACATGAGTGTATGTTCACGTGCACTCAGTGTTACATACATTACACATTTCAGTCCCCTGTGAAACATTCATTAATCATGTCCCTCAAAGTGTTTTCTGCACATTTCACAAAGTCTGTCTCTAACAGTCAAATCATTGAGCAGCTCCTATCAGCTGATTTTTTTTAGAAATTGACAGCTGTCTTGACGCAGGGATGAATGTCTATTAAAAAAAAAATAGGGATCCTTTTTTTCTTCCTTCTCTCCTTCCTGTCACAGCTGCCTGGGAAGCAGTACATGAGCAATCCTCCCTCTTGGATAACTAAAACATATGTGGTGTGATTTGCTGGCAGTATTCCACGTAGTAAGAAACTATGTAATACTAATTGTATGTTTAATACATACATACATACATACATACATATATATAACTTGATACTTAAGCAGACATTCATTGCATACATAAGAGGTACTTGCTTTAAAATCTCTGACTGTCTTTTTTTTAATTTTTGACTGGACTGAGCATTAAAACATCCCTTAAAAGTGGAAGGGAAAAATAGATAACATATAAGGTAACATTTTCATGTCATTGCCCAAATTACTACCAAGATATTTTCTCTGTGTGGTAGATACAGAGGAAAGAAGTCATTATAATGTAGTTATGCATTGCTCCTCATCTGAAAAAGTTTTCTCAACTACTTCCTCCTCAGCAAAGCTCTAAAGCACATCTATCTCGTCCCTGCTCTGGTGTTCAAAGACCCTACTGCTTTTACTACAACACTTACCTGTAGCACATGTGAGAAAAAGAAATGCTGTTATCCCTCTATTAGAGGTGGGAATCTTAGACACCTAGAGTACCCTCTGCTGCCTGAAGCCATTCAGGAAAATTGCAGTGTGATCCAGTCATGGATCCAGGGCTCCCAGCCCAAACTTTTATCTTGAGGCATCTTTCAAGAACAGATTTTGATATGATTTGCACACAGCTGCCGTTGCAGAAGGAAGCAATTTCACTACAAGAGCTTTTCAGGTAACAAATTCCAGTTTTAGTAATTTTTTGGTGACTTTTTTCAAATTTGTGAACTCAAACAACAGTTCTCTTCCATTTGCCAAAAATTGAATGTAATTAATTTCCAGTGCAATTCTGAATTATAGAAAGTGCAAAAACATTATAGTACTTCCTGAGCAGAGTGGCTCTGTTTGTTCAATGCTTGATGCAACAGCAGCATCCATTTCCCACACAACCCTGGCTGTATTAATATGCATGTTACCTTTGTTGAGCTGCAGAATCTGCTGCAAAGGGCTGTTTTCAAAAGCTTTGCTATGCCTAAGTCCTTGAAAGCACTCAGGCACCCAGTGTTCTTTAACAAAGTCAAGGAAACAAAACATCTAGAATCTCAGCCAGAAAAGATAAATACCTAGTGTCTAGGACCTTCCAATATTTGCAACCAGTTTTTACTTTTGAAAAGGGGATCAAAATCCCTCAACCAGGAGGGACCAGGAGACACCAGCATGAAATTGAGAATTGCTGACAGTCCCTGCTGTGGCTTTTCTTATCTGTGCCACTGGTGTCTAAAGGTAACTTATTCTTCATTGTTGATTTTCCTGTCTAAAAATAGGTTAATTAATAGAGAAATAATCATACAATCTCAGTTCTTGCAAACTGAGAATGGTGTTGGATGAGGGACAAGCTGAAGGTTAAATGCACTGAACTTGATAAAGGTTTGTAAATCCCAAATGTAACATTTCTTGCCTGGTTTGTTAGCACCATGAATATTTTTCAGCCTTTCTTCGTAGGTGATAAGAAAGATTCTGCTCATTTTCTCCATGACTACATACATGTAAAGCTCTCAAAATCAAGGACAAACGGCAGTATGTCAGAAAGAAGAGTTCAAAAGTCTCATAAAGACATTCCTACCTATGCAACTTACTATCTTTACTTTCTTTCCTAACAACAACAACAACAACAAATTCAAGTGACCTCTTGTCCTAAACTTTTAAGGACACTGAGTAAGTCTTTAAACGTCTCCACGGAATTCACTGCTTCAGAATCCAGCAAACAATGAAGGACCATTGGTGAAAACATCAATTCCAAAGGAGCTGTTTCCTTGACCAGGAAAGTGTGTGGAAAGATCTCCACTTTTTTTGAGCCAGTGCAATCCCCACCAAGGATCCCTAAGGTTGATTTATATAAATTCTAGTTCTATGTGTATTAAGATCTAATACTATGTGAGTATTAGAGAAGTCCTCTTAATCTGAAGGTTTCTGTGAAGTTACGTCAGTGAAGAAACAGGGGGATGGGGTGAGAAGGGGAGGGTGGGGCTGGAATACA